TTTATGTTCTCTGGGACACCACTCACTACCATCAACCTGTACTACAATACTTAGGATTGTTGAAATATGCTGGAGCTCCTCTGCTGCAAGTGTTGACCCTAGGGGTGTCACCTTTTTTCAAGTGTCTCACAGGTGTCACCTGTGAGAATGTGTAGTTGAGCTCAGCATACCACGGCTGATTTTTCAGACATCCCTGTGTAAAGGAATCCTAGCAAATGTGTGGAAACAGGCTAACATAGTTCCAATCTACAAAAGTGGCAGGAGGGAAGCCCCCCCTCAATTATAGACCTGTATCATTAAGTGTAATAGTCAAAATATTGGAAAAATAATAAAAGCGAAATGGGTAGAACACCTGGAAAGAAATCATATAATATCAGACAGTATGGTTTTCAATCTGGAAGATCTTGTGTATCGAATTTACTCAGTTTCTATGAAAGAGCCACATGGATTTTACAGGATAGAGACGGTTGGGTTGACTGCATCTATCTGGACCTAAAAAAGACTTTCGACAGAGTTCCACATAAGAGGTTGTTCTGGAAACTGGAACATATTGGAGGAGTGACAGGTAAGCTTCTAACATGGATGAAAAATTTTCTGACTGATCGAAAAATGAGGGCAGTAATCAGAGGCAATGTATCGGACTGGAGAAATATCACAAGTAGAGTACCACAGGGTTCAGTTCTTGCACCAGTGATATTCATTGTTTACATAAATGATCTACCAGTTGGAATACAGAATTATATGAACATGTTTGCTGATGATGCTAAGATAGTAGGAAAGATAAGAAACTTAGATGATTGTCATGCCCTTCAAGAAGACCTGGACAGAATAAGTATATGGAGCACCACTTGGCAAATGGAATTTAATGTTAATAAATGTCATGTTATGGAATGTGGAATAGGAGAACATAGACCCCACACAACCTATATATTATGTGAGAAATCTTTAAAGCATTCTGATAAAGAAAGAGATCTAGGAGTGGTTCTAGATAGAAAACTATCACCTGAGGACCACATAAAGAATATTGTGCGAGGAGCCTATGCCATACTTTCTAACTTCAGAATTGCTTTTAAATACGTGGATGGCGATATACTAAAGAAATTGTTCATGACTTTTGTTAGGCCAAAGCTAGAATATGCAGCGGTTGTGTGGTGCCCATATCTTAAGAAGCACATCAACAAACTGGAAAAGGTGCAAAGACATGCTACTAAGTGGCTCCCAGAACTGAAGGGCAAGAGCTACGAGGAGAGGTTAGAAGCATTAAATATGCCAAAACTAGAAAACAGAAGAAAAAGAGGTGATATGATCACTACATACAAAATAATAACAGGATTTGATAAAATTGATAGGTAAGATTTCCCGATACCTGGAACTTCAAGAACAAGAGGTCATAGATTTAAACTAGCTAAACACAGATGCTGAAAAATTATAAGAAAATTCACTTTCGCAAACAGAGGGGTAGACGGTTGGAACAAGTTAGGCGAGAAGGTGGTGGAGGCCAAGACCGTCGGTAGTTTCAAAGCGTTGTATGACAAAGAGTGTTGGGAAGACGGGACACCACGAGCATAGCTCTCATCCTGTAACTACACTTAGGTAATTACCAGTTGACTGACGGTTGAGAGGTGAGATCAAAGAGCCAAAGCTTAAACCCCACAAGCACAACTAGGTGAGTACGTGTATGGTGATCAGGTGCATCGTTGTTGGTGTCCCACCTGCGAGTTTCGTCTCGGTGGCAGTATGAAGTTTCCTGGCGGTCCTTTCGGCACTATCTCTTTATAGGTTGTCTTTGATTTCTGATCGGATTTTTTTGTCCTTTCTCTCTAGGTTGTTTCAGGACCATCATCTTATGCTGAATACTGTTGCTTCATATAATGCAGCACAGGCGGAGCCACTTCTGCTTGCGTTTGGGGTGGATGTCACTTTTCCTCCGTTCCCAAGCTTTCTCGGGTGTCGTTTCACCTCCAGCCTGCTCATGCACTGCCTGAGCCATTGTGGTCTGTAGACCGGGTACTCTCTCTTCTCTCTTCTCCTTGATTTGGGGTGACGACTACAGTTCAGGACTGCGTTGGTAAGGCTCTTTTTCTTGTTGGCTTTGGCCTCTAGGGGTCAGGTTGGGGAGCTTCATGCTCTCTTCCGGCACAGGGGTTTCTGCTCTTTCGGTCCTGGTGGTCAATTTGTTCGTTTGCAGCCATCTCCTTCTTTTCTGGCCAAGAATGAGACTGTTGCATTCTGGAAGGGGTATTTGGGGGTTTGATGCTTGGTTGGTTCGGCCGGCGGTCTATCATGTTTTGTGTCTGGTTGTGGCTCTTCGCCGTTACTTGCACGCCATGGCCTCTGTGGCAGGGGACGCGCTTTGGGATGAACCAATTTCCCTTCTTCCCTGTTCTAGGGCACGGGTCTCCCAGGTTGTCTGCATGAGTGTTTGGTCCAGCCAGCATGCGGTCTATCCCGTGCCCATGTCGTTCGCAAGTTCGCGGCTTTGGCGGCTCTTTTTGGTAATATGCCTTGGGCTGACATTTGAGCACAGGGCTTTTGGAGGTCGAACAGGGTCCTGGCTGCACGGTTCCTCGTTCATGTTCCTGGCCTTTCTCGTCTATGTGTAGCTTTGGGTCGCAGGTTGCAGCCAGTTGTCTTGACTTCGAGTTAAGGAGCGAGTAGTGGCTGCCTCCTGGTTAAGTCCATCTTTTCCTTTATCTTTGGTTAGGTAGCTCCTGGGAGCCAAAGGGGCTCTCCACAGAAAACCAGCATTAAATGTAATGAAATACTATTTTCTAGTTGAGACCCGTAGGCTTACCGGCATCCATCCCTCCCTCCCTCCAATCGTCGGTTTTTCATGTTTTGATACTCAGCCTCTGAACTGAGGTTGGGATAGCCGGTATGGAGGTCTGGAACCCCCCCTTCCCCCTCTTGGGGAAGGGGGGGGGAGTTGCGCAGACAGTGGCGTGGCGGCTGTGGTGATGTCATGCTAGTTTGCTTGTTTTCAATTGAGGAGTTCTGTTTGCTGGTTCAGTTTTTGCTTCGCAATTTTTAATCAACTGTAGTTTGTTTTGGAATTCCTACCTTTCTGGGTGCTTGACCTAGTAGATGGCAGATATAGACTACTTTCAATTACTTGGGGGTGTCTATAGTCCATTGTTCGTCGTGCCAATTTCTGAGGGGGGCCAGGTTCTGGTGCTAGTCCCTGGTATGCTTAGAACTCCATGAATTGACTGTTGCCACAGTCTAATATATACACATCAGTTTGGTATAGCTCTGGGTAGCCTCTGGGTCTCACCCAGAAAATGGCGTTTCATTACATTCAACACCGTTTTTTTTTTTAATTTTTTCATTAGTAATCATAGGTACCATTTCTGTATAAATTCTATACAATATCAACTTAGTAATCATAGGTATCAATAATCAATTTTTCATGGGTATTATGAAAAAAGTTTTTTAGGCTATAAAGTGAATAGTGCAAAATTCTACTAACTGCTTAGTCCGTCAATCTTTGTGCTATAGTGATGGTGCACATAGTTATAAAACAACTATCTAAATAGATGGCTGGGTTGCACAAATCACATAAATTACAAACCACATTTGTGTGAGAATGTTTCATCCACCTGGTTTATCAGGAAGACAAATTCCTGACCCACAGAGAGCTTCTCCTCTCTCACCTTCTAATGGGCACTTTGTTATACATTCCCATAATGCATATTTGTTACTGGCAGGTCAGGCATTCTTATTACTGATAAGCATGGTGGATGAAGTACTGTAGTTATATATATATTTAAAAAATCAGTATTTTTAGTGTGAAACTTAGTAACTGTTGTAAATGAATTTTATTGTAATGGACAATTATAGATATTTGTAATTAAAGAATGAGATGAATCATTTAGTCAATGTTTTGATAAGAGTAATACCATGAGTCTTGATAACTATTAGATATAACTTGTATATTGACGAGTATTAAATGTACAATACAATGTACAGAGGAACCTCAAGTGACAAGCAGCTCCATCGGTGAGCATTTCAAGTAATGAACTAGCCACTCGCAGAAAATTTGTCTTGATCGATGAGCTTTTGCCCGATTAACGAGAAAACCACGTGGTGCTTCCTAGCGTTCCCGCTAGTTCTCAGATGCCTCCGACGACAGTGCTGTTGGTTTTGTTTCGCAAGACAAGTGCTATACTCGGAACAGATTAAATTCATTAATCGAGGTTCCTCTGTATATAATAGAATAGACTGTGCACAATTTTTATACTACTGAAGCTAGATGTTGCATGAAATTATGTAACCATTTTCAGTTCACTTCATGCATGTTCAATTGTACATAGATTATTGCATTGGATCTGCTTGAACTCTTTATGTTTAGTACAAAGTTTTCAGAATTAAAAAATTTGTTTGGCATCTTAGGGAACTTGTTTATACAGCACTCTCTGTTTGAACCTAGGTATGCTTATGGCATGATGATATGCTCAGAAATTTACTATTTATTTCAGGAACAAAGATTTATTTGTTGTTGTTATTGTTGTTGCTCTTCTTCATTAAAATATATAATTGTTGAGTTACTGCCTGATGCTCTTTTAATTATAATGCATATGGGTACTTAATAACATATTAAAATGTAATTTTCTTAATGGAACAAGAATTGCAATTGGAAAAATTTAAGAGATACAAAACTGCTGTAAAATATTGGAAATTTTTGAAGATTTTTATATGCTTTAGCAGTGTGCTTCAAATATTAAAGAGCCTGAAAATTATCACTCACTTCCTATTGTTCTTTGATATTATCCAAGATATACAAACCTGAAACAACCAATCAGTTAAATCTATAGAAATCATGAAGAAGTAGAATTGTTATAAATAATAGTGTTGTATTATTGTTCTAACGTTCCTGATTTCTAAAATTTTCTTATTATTATAAGTAATATTTCCAGGGAGGATTGGGCAGAAAAGAAATTTTGTTGTATTACATTTTCTAAGTAATGTTTGACTTGTTATTCTGTTACTCTGCCTTGCAGTTATTTGGAAGTATGGAAGGTGGACTTGATGGTGTGACACGGTCCGGAAGTGTGATGGATCTCAATGCTCAACTGTCCTTGACCTCCACACATAATAACCATCACTCAGAGAAAAGCAAACACCGTTATTCTCTCCCAGGTCCCAGTGAGAGACCATTTGGCTTGTGTAAGTTGGCTTGATGTTAATGTTTATATACATTAGTTAACTGAAACTAATATTATTTAAACAGCATTGTTTTCTTGGGTAATGTATAACATGCTAATCATTAACAAAGTGGGATAGTGTTTACTAAGCAAATATTTGCTGGTGATGGCCTTTGCTTTTGCTTTTTACATAGTAAATTATTATTTAATTTTCTGTCATATTAATAACATATTGGTAATGCAGAAAATAATTACTTATTCAGTTGCTCTCCTGATATTGAGAAGAAATTAAGCAGTATACTATATATTGAAAATGTGTTTATTTTTTCTACATACGGTGCTTCAAGGGCTCAAATATGGTATGGCCTTAAAAGTTTTGATCTCACAGGCTCTTTCCTTTGCACCCACCAGCTTCTTACACTGATGTTACACTGCTGCAGTTGGTGAATACTGCAAACTTTGTGTTTAGAGGAAATCATGGAAAGTTGAACTTGCTCATAAACTTTCATCTTTATCTTGCTCAGATTCTTCATAATTTTTTGTTTAACTTATTGAAATAATCACTAGAATTACCCTAATTACAATAGAATTATTACCTTATCACCAAACTTAATACAAATAATGTAATTTTTCTTTTGTTGAAATGTATGAGGAAACAAACTACATTTGGAATTGAATCAGTGCTAGACTACATTTCAGTAATTATTCATGGATATTTTATGTAATTTTTTTTAATAATTAAGCTCTATTTTTATGCACTTGTCTGCCTACTGAGGATACATTGTTCTAATGTTTTGTTGTGCATCTGTGTGTGCAGGGTTATTACCAAAATTGTTTACCATATTCTTCCTCCTCCTCTTCTAATCTTCTACTTCCTCATTATCCTTGACCTATTTCTTCCCGTTTCTTCTAGTACTACGGGGTTGTTATAGTTTAGTGTGATTATCTAAATGTAGTTACTCAAGTGTAATTACAGGATGAGAGTTGCTCACATGGTGTTCTGTCTTCCCAGTACTCTTCTGCTGGGTTCACTAGGATTTGGTTCTCAGTGCCATTCTAAAACTTTCATCTTTATCTTGCTCAGATTCGATTGGAATCCTTCAGGAAAAAGATGATTCTTCTGGCTCCTTGGTCTCAGGCACTGCGTGCTCAGTGTCCAAACACAGGTGTTTTCTGTGGATCAGCCTCTAACAGAGAGTTGGCCCAGTGACATACAGGCCACTCCCACTTTACAAACATTCTTATCATGAACATTCACCCATATAAACATTCTCTCAGGTCCTCCTATACCCCTATCATTCATAAAATCACTGTACAAACTTCCTGGAGCATCCCTTTGAATTTTGCTGCAGAGCGCTTAAAAGTCTATGCCACAGCCACATGGTGGAGTATTGTATTGTACAAAAGGGTAGTTGGGTATTGTCAAGTCATACACAAGACTTTTCAACAGCTTATTTTCCAATTGTCAAAACTATATACAGTGTTGTCGAATGCCTCTCTTTTCAAATTTTTCGGTTTTCGAGCTCAGTTTCTTGTAAAATTCGACTTGGTATTCAAGGTTGGTTGATACATGTATGGGTTGACCGAGTGCATGGATCTGCTGGGGGCTGGCGAGGCGCACTTCAGTTTACCAGTGTCCCGCCTAGTGACTACCGCACTTAGAAGCATTAAATATGCCAAAACTAGAAGACAGAAGAAAAAGAGGTGATATGATCACTACATACAAAATAGTAACAGGAATTGATAAAATCGACAGGGAAGACTTCCTGAGACCTGAAACTTCAAGAACAAGAGGTCATAGATTTAAACTAGCTAAACACAGATGCCGAAGAAATATAAGAAAATTCACCTTCGCAAATAGAGTGGTAGACGGTTGGAACAAGTTAAGTGAGAAGGTGGTGGAGGCCAAGACCGTCAGTAGTTTCAAAGCGTTATATGACAAAGAGTGCTGGGAAGATGGGACACCACGAGCGTAGCTCTCATCCTGTAACTACACTTAGGTAATTACACTTAGGTAATTACTTCAATTCTTAGTGAAGAATTTCATTGTTTTGTGCTTTTTTGGGTTTCTGAACATAAAAAGTAATTACTATATATCATGCCATGGGTATTTAATTTTTTTAATTTAATTTGATCAATATTTAATATATTTACAATATGTACACTCACACACTATTTACAGACACACACACTGTAATACACTGTAATATACACTGAGTACTTTGGAAGTGGGTGATAATCAAAGAAGCGGTCCATGGTATTCAACGCAACTTTGCACTCGATGCACCAGGTACACACACATTTTTGCTACTTGTTCTTCGTTCTTCATTGTGTATGCTTGCAAACAATGCACTTACATATACCTTTGGCCATAGTTCCTATAAGTGGTATGTAGCCAGGCCTGTGAATTGCAAACAGGTCTTTACCAACCAGTTTGTTGGGAGCTACATGTTGGCGCATGAACAACTGTCCTTACACTGTCTTACTAGCATACTTGACGAGTAATTGTGATAAGAAAGCATGACTAAAAACACAAATTTATGGTTTTCTGGGAGAAGCCCCTTTGGCTTCCCTGGAGCTATCTGGGCTGATATGGAGTATTAGCTTTGGGCATCAGTCAATGTACACAGAGTTCTAGACCTACTGGGGACAACAAGCCAGAACATGGCCCCCTCAAAGAGGCGCGAGGAGCAATGGCCTATAGAGACACCTTATATATATAATTTAGAAGTACTCTATGTCTGCCATCAACCGGATGAGGCACCCAGAAAGATAGGCGCCCCAAAACATCATCCATTCTAGTTAAGAATTGCTACAAAAGCCGAACAAGTGGATAGAACTCCCCATGAAGAAAAATGAGCATGTCATCTCGTTACCAACGCCTCACAGTCTGCTCAACCCACCCCTCCCTGGGTGGGTGAAGGGGAAGCCCCAGACCCTTCTGCCGGCTACCCAAGCCTGCCATTTCTTGAATGATGTCGGTGGGCCTCAGTTGTGTACCTCCAGCTCCGGCTTTTCTTCTCTGTTCTTGCTTCGGTGGTGTGCAAGCTGGGAGTATATTCACAAGTACTCGATCTGCATGAGCTTAGGGTGCCCTTCCCTAAGCGCCCTGTAAGTACTGGGCACTTAGTACTATGGGACCTATGGGTACTATGGTACCCATAGGCCACATGAGTACCTATATGGTACTATGCAAGGAACTTGGGGCCTCCTTCCACAAGTCGCCTTGGGAGCTACCTCCATTGTGTCAATTACTGCTTAGTACTTGTCCGCCCTTGGAGGCAGCTGAGGGGTTTTCTTGCTCCTCTGTTTGTCTCTGGGTAGGGGTAGTATTCATCACTGGTATGGAAGCCGGGTACTTACACAGCTAGTTTTAACCTCTCACAGCGGCTGGCTCTGCATCATTTGGGTACGCTGCCCTCTTGCATTTTTTTTTTGTTTCTTTTTGTTCCTTGCCTTGGCACGGGGTCTGCCCTTGGGTTGGGTCACACCCTCGTTATATATATTGGTGGTACCCCCCTGCTAGGCCCCTGTATGTGGACATGGGGACCCAGACCTTCGGCCCAGAGTCCTGCAAGTTGTTGCTTGTTTGTGACTGTTCACCCAGTCGCACTCACGTACACCCTTGGCTTTAGTACTTGTAGGTTGTATGTAGCCAAGCTTGTAAAGCATAAGGTAGTATTGAAAAGATTATAGGAAAAGATCAATTTGTAAGGTAGTCTTGAAAAGATTGCTATGTATGGTCCCACACAGGAAGAGATTCAGCTTGCCTCAAAGAGTGTCCGTCAGTCAGGAAGAGATTCAGGTATTCCTGAAAATATCTATGGAAAACACCACCATGGAAGCCGCTAACACTGTTCATCTATGCTACTTGTATCAGATGCATTATCACTGAATGCAGAAAGCGAATTTATCTATGTATCATCTAAATAAATTGGAGATAGCATAGCATTGCAAGGGTGACGCTCAGAGCTACAACTGGATACGTTCGCTGTATCGTCCTTATAGGTGCTGTATCACTTGCATTCGACCTTTGTGTTAGGTCCTTATTGCACCTAGCTTCACCAATATTATGACCCTTATGTTCTTCAAACAATAAGGTTTGAATTTTACCGGCAGGGCGTTTTCTTTCAACACCACGTCAGACAGGTGTTTGGGAGCCAGAAACACGTGCACCACTCATGGTTGCTCATTCAGTACTAACCTAGCCAGCAGCCCTAGGGTATTCTGGGAATTTTGTTCAAGATGGCTGCCTCTCACTGGAGGTCCTAAGAGTCCATTTCGTACACAACCAACCTCGCACACATTTAGAATGGGTACGGAAAAATCAAAAAGATTTTTCTCGGTTGGCGCAGTTTCCCCCCGACCGAAAATACTCGGCTGGCGCAGTTAAGTGGTTAATCATACTAATCAGAGCATCATTGGTGCTTTTTTTTTTTTTTTTTAGAATATCGGGAAAGGTTTGGAGTTTGAGTGATTTGTTGTAGAGCAATGCAATGCCCAGATCTAAAATTCTAGAGGCTATTTGTAAATTAGGTTTGGTATCTCAGCAAGGGTTCTTGACTTTGTTTTAAGAGAAAGGATTATATCATTAACATCAGAGAAATTAGTGGGAATTAGATACAGAAACTCTGGATAGTTTCCTGTAAGGTAGTCATTAACATTTGTTAGGGATGTTGCAATATCATTTGCAAGGGATGTGCCAATGACTGAGAAGAATTTATTGAATTTAATGGCATTGTCAGAGGAAGATAGCACTCCATAGTCATTGGCTAGTATTGGTTTCTTTGATCCTAATATTTGGGAAATAGTGTTCCATGTTTCCAAGTCAGTGTTTAATGTACAGTATAAGCTGTAAAACTTGTCATATATTTATTTAACCTAGTTTCAGTTTTAGATTAAGGTTGTTGAAGACTTCAGTAATGATTATACAGATTGTTAAAGTTTATTTTCAGGTTAAATGCAAAGATTTCTACATACTTACAATTTCTGCCTGCTCATGACAGTTTTATATAATACAGCACTGAGCGGTAGCACTTTTAGAGTACTGTATATATATATTCCTCATAACACATTGTGGTATTAGAAGGTTATACAACCTACCATCACTAAGGATACTAACCATCACTGATTTTACAGCTCGACCTACGTTCCTCAATTTGAACCTGAATCTCAACTCTCTCAGGCTTCAAGGATCAACTCCTGCTAAGTGTATGTCTTGTTCATGTCTTCAGTGTTGTCTTGTAATTGTTGAATAAAAATGCAACATCCTTATATTTCTTGGTTGCATATAAAATAGTATGCAAGTTCCTTCCTTTATCTTTTTTGGCTGTATAATAGGTTTTACAAGTTTAGTAGATGATATTTCCATATTGTTGCGCTTTGTAGATTTTTACCATAATTTGTTAATTGCTTGTGGATTCTTTTTTTATTATAAATTTTAAGCATTTCCTACCTGCTGTTTGATAACTGAGTGTTGCAATTTTCACTGGAAAAGCTGCTATATCACATTGTTGGCAAAGTCAAATGGATGTTTCTTGTTATCCATTTTATATTGCACTACAATTTTGGTAAAGTTGAACAAGAGATGTTAATTACTGTGTAATCCTTATTTAAAACACTTTATGATACTGAGTCAGCATGAAACTGTTCAACAAAAAACCAGCGTTGAATGTAATGAAATGCCATTTTCTGGGTGAGACCCGGAGGCTCCTCGGTGCTATACCGGGCTGATGTGTATATATTAGACCATGGCAACAATCAGTCGATGGAATTCTAGGCCTACCGGAAACCAGCGTCGGAACCTGGGCCCCCCCTCAGAGAGGCACAGGGAGCAATGGCCTATAGACATCCCCGTGTAATTGGAAGCAGTCTATGTCTGCCATCTACCAGGTCAGGCACACAGAAAGATAGGAATTCCAAAACAAACTACGGATAGTTTGCATTTATATTGTTTTTTCTTGCCAATCCTTTGTATAATGAACACGTACACAATGTTATGGCAGTAGAACATCCGTACTGTCCCAAAATACTGTTACATGCATCACAAATGTGTCCACATATATTGCTTATACTTCCAATGTTTCATGTTCATTTATGTATATTTATAACATATTTATACACTGTACACTATCACACACTATATACGTTCACCATCAACACACTCAGAACTCCTCAAGTGTGTGATATACTGTGAAGCAGTTGACGGGGCATAGTGGAACTTGGCACTCAACGCACCTGGTGCAGATGCATCTTCACTTGCATTCCCTATGTTGAGTATTGCAGACAATACAGGCACGTTCACCCATGCTCGGGGTCCCTGGTACGCCTAGAACTACATGTACAGTACATTGACTGATGCTCAAAGCTAATACTCCGTATCAGCCCAGATAGCTCTGGGGAGCCTAAGGGGCTCCGCCCAGAAAATTATAGAGAAATAGCTCTAATGCTGCATATCATAAAAATCTTTGAAAGAGTGCTAAGAAGTAAGATCACAAAACACATGGAATCAGTGTCTACATAATGCTGGGGAAACGGGGGTTCAGAACAAGGTACTCTTGCATCTCCATAATTGTTAGACCACTATGACATGACCTTAGATGCCATGGAAGACAAACAAAACACTGATATAATAGACAGTTTTTGCAAGAGCCTTCGACAAATGTGATCATGTTGTTATTGCACGCAAAATGTGCATAAAAGGAATTACTGGCAAAGTAGGAAGATAGATATTTAACTTCCAAACATACAGAACTCAGAGTGTAATAGTCAACAAAGTAAAATTTGAATCATCCACTGTGAAAAGTTCAGTTCCCCAAGGTGCCATGCTTTCTACAGTACTTATCCTCATCCTCACATCAGACATAGTGTGAGAGCAAGAGCTTGTAATATGTACCCGAGAGTACGGACTAACAAAACCTGTCTTTACTTAATTATAAATAAGGGAAGGAAATGTATCATATGGGGTATAGATAATGGGGCTAATTTTAAAGAGACAGTAAATGGCAATAAATCTTTTAGTAAAGTAGATCCGGTTAACCATAAAATTATTCTTCATGAAGCGAAATTAATTCATATCATTAATTCATATGCTGTAAGCACAGAACTTGGTGTTCAAAGTTGGGGATAATGTTTGTTTTGCCCTGCCAACAGTTCCTATTAACCAAGGCAATTAAGTATTCTTATGAAATTTTGGCAACCCTTGGCGAATCATTGGGGAGCATAATCATAACAATGTCTAATGAGAGACACCAAGTGAGGCACTCTGCCACAAATATAAGTGCAATTGCCAAGAACATTGTTCAGAACATTGTTTATTGGGTCCGTTCTTCACCTTCATAGGGAAGATTCATGCTGGCATCATTGACTTCAACATTTCAACGGTCATATTCAATAACGCATACAGTACAGTATATATAATTTTTGCTTTAAATTCTATTATTTACTGTACAGTATTTATTTTACAGGAATTTGTAGGGTTTTCATTTTATACTGTGATAGCACCTTAAGCCTAAGTTGTTGTTTTATATATCTGAAAGTATTTGACTTTTGCATGACTATTTAATAACTTTTAATTTATTTTTGTACATAATGCATGGACTGTTATTTTTTAATATAGCAAATCATTGTGCAGTATTTTAAAGTGCATGTACGGTATTATACATTAACCACTGCACTGCGCAAAGCGCCTTTAGGCGCTCAGAGAGTTGTGCTTTTTGTTTTTTAATTTGGCTATATTTTAATGTTTTTTAATGTTTTGATTACTATTTGTGTTTTGAAATGGAAATAGTTGACTTTGGAAACATTTTGACATTAAATTTACCTGAACATTTGTAAAAATAACAAAAATATGTCCTTGACAATTGCACCAAGACGTTTTTGCCGAAAATAGGTGAGCAGTGCAAGGGTTAAAATGCATTATGGTAAACATTATTTTGTACATAGTAAGTATGCTTACACATTAAATACTTTCATAGAACTTTTATAATTTTTTATTTTTATATTGTTTGTAAAAAAGAATTCAAGTGTCAGTTGTGCTTTGTTTGTAAGTTTTATATAGAAATTCCCTATAAATAGACATGAATATATCATAAGGATATTAATTATCAGTACAGTGGAACTTCGGGTGACGAGCGGCTCCATCTACGAGCATTTCAGGTAACGAGCGAGGCACTTGCAGAAAATTTGTCTTGATTGACGAGCTTCCGCTCGGTTAACGAGAAAACCACGTGGTGCTTCCTAGCATTCTCGCTGGTTCTCGGATGCCTCTGACAACAGTGTTGTTGTTTCGCAAGACAAGTGTTTCACATGACGAGCTCGGTGCCGGAACGGATTAAATTTGTTAACCGAGGCACCACTGTATTTATAGTTTCATTTTCTGGGGGAGCTCCTTGTGGTTCCCTGAAGCTACCATTTCTGATGTAGGTGCCATATACTAGGTGCCACCAGTCGCCGAGTACTCTGTCCTACCGGGAACCCAACGCCAGAACCTGGTCCCCTCATAGAGGTGCAGGAAGCAGTGGCATTTTTATATTGAATTATTCATTTATGCCACCACTGAAGAAGGCACCCAGTAAGTCAGCGAGTCAAAACAAACCACAGCTGACTACCTCCGAGAGCTACTGGCTTGAAAACAGCCATAGAACTTCCTAAACTATGCAACCAAATGATCGAAAATGTAACAAAACTAGCACCCGCTCATTCGCCCCACCCTCCTACTCGTTTGGGCGGAAGTGGGGGGCAGGCTAGGGCTCACAGGCCGCTCCACCATCAGTTCTCCTCTGATATGTACCAGGTCTGCTATTGTCACTCTGCTTCCATCATGTTGCTCTTCTTACTAGCCCTCCTGATGACATTTGGGCTTATCAGGCAGTGACCATTCTTTGTGTTAGCTTTTCTGTGCCACAGCAGTCTAGGTTGCGTGTGTCCATTTATATGGACACAACCTAGATCGATAAACACTTCCAAAGGATACATGATCAACCAGACTTTGATTCATATTTATGACTGCGGGCAGCCATGTCCAACATCCTGGTTGACCAGACCATCAACCAGGAGTCTTGGACAGAGATCGGGCTGAGGGGACACCAACCCCTTTAGCATGAGGCTGCCCCTGAAATCCCCTGAAATCAATGCAAGGTAACAGCAAGGGTGATGGCATTACAACCTTGGTTTCCAGCGCTGCTTGCTCAGTGTCTGAACCAAGTTGTTTTTCAGGAGCTCTGCCTTTTCCAGGGTCAGTCTGGCAATGTACTTCACTGGTTTGAACTTCTCTGCTCTTTACATCTGGAGTTTCTGACATGGGTGTATCACCATCTTTATGGCATTCAGGTGACTGAGTTGGTGTCCCACCTGCAAGTTTTCTCGAGGTGGCAATATGAGGTTTAGTGTCTGTCATTACATTATTTCCTCTCTCTTAGACATTATTCATCTGTTTCTGAGCAGGTGGGTCTTTCATTTCTGTCTTGGTTGTTTCCTGTTCAGCATCTCTAGCCAGATAATATCGCCTCATATAGTGTGCGGCGCTCGCAGAGACGCTGCAACTTGCGTTCGGGGGTCGATACTTTGCTCCTTTTCAAAAGCTGTCTCATGTGTTGTTTCACCTGCAGCCTGTTTATGCACCGGAGCCAGATTGGTCTTTAGACTGGGTGCTCCATTTTCTATCTTCCACTCGGTTTACTGTGTCCCCTTTGGTCTAGGATTGCTTTATCCTTTTCCTTATCTCACTGGCTTCTAGTTGCCATGTTGGTGTGCTTCATGGTCTCCTTCAGTGCGAAGGATTTTGTTCTTTTGGTTCTGGGGGTAAGTTTGTTCATCTCCAGCTAGTTGCTTCTTTTCTAGAGAGGATGAGTTGATTGGTTTTGAAGGGGTTCGTTAGTGGTTGATGCTCGATAGGTTAGGCCGGGGGTGCATCATGTTTTGTGTCTGGTGGTGGCTCTTTGTTGCTACCTTCATGTCACCATTTCTACGTTGGTCAACACCATGTGGGTTGATCCTGTTTCTTTGGTTTCCTTTTACAAGGCTCGTATTTCTCATGATGTTTGCAATGTAATTAAGTGTAGCCAACCTGTGGTGTACCATGTACTCTCATGCCTATGATATCCATAAGTATGCTGATCTTTCAGTTTTTTTGCTAATATGTCTTGGACTGATATTTGGGCGCAGGGTTCTGGAGGTCAGATAGAATGTTGGCAACCCAGTACATGATCAATGTTCTTGGGCCTCAGTGCTCCTGTATGGCCTTGGGTCGACCTCTAGTCCAACAGTCTTGTCTTCGCTATGATACCAGCAGTGCTCCCTCTTGCCTGGTAGATGCCCATTTCTTCCTTCTCCATGGGTAGTTAGCTTCAGGGAGCCACAAGGGGGTCTCCTCCCAAGAAAACAAGCAATGAATGTAATTAAATGCCAATTCCTGGGTAAGCCCTGGTGGCTACATGACACCCTCCATCCCCCAAGGAAATCTGGTTCTTAAATCATTTGTTGAACTGGCAGTGGAGTGGCCTGTGAGCTGTGGCTGCCCCCCCCCTCCTCTCTCCAAATGAAGGGGAGGGTGGGTTGAACGAGTGGGCACTAGTCTTGTAAAAAAATTTATCGTTTGTTTACAAAATTTGGGAGTTCTATGGCTGTTTTCGAGCCTGCAGGTCTCGGAGGCAATCTGCTGTGGTTTGTTTCAAGTTACTTACTTTCTGAGTGACTTCCTTGGTGGTGGTATAAATGAATAACTTACTATATAAATACCAGAGCTCCCTGCACCTCTGTGATGGAACCAGGTTCTGGCACTTACAGTACATTCTTGTACAGCCACTAGCACTCATAGCATTTTTAAGCAAGTCCTTAATCCTAATTTTTCCCAGAATACAACCTGCCAAATCGTTTAACAACCAGATACCCATTCACTGCTGGGTGAACAGAGGCTACAGTTAAAGATTGGCGCCAAGTAAATCTTCCCTGGCCAGGATACGAACCCAGGAGAAAGCGCTCGCGAAACACCAGGCGAGTGTGTTACCACTTCGCCTCTTCAGCCACAGGCAGTAGGTCCCTGGTAGGCCAGAGATCTCCGCGACTGATGGCACCTAGGAGATGCACCTACATCAGATATGGTTGCTTCAGAGAGCCACTTTGGCTTACCCAGAAATTGGCACTTCATTACATTCAATGTTTGTTTTCTGGGGGGAGCCCCGTCGGCTCCCCGGAGCTATCCAGGCTGAATGGATATGTATAACTTTCTGGCATCGGTCAATGCATGGAGTTCTTGCCTACCAGGGACCACAAGCCAGAACCTGGCCCCCTCTAGAGAGGCACAGGGAGCAATGGCCTATAGAGATCCCCCCTTTATGATTGGGAGCATTCTATGTCTGCCATCGACCGGGACAGGCACCCAGAAAGGTAGGCGCCCCCAAAACAAACCCCTATTCTGGTAAACTATTGCTACCAAAGACCGAGCAGGTGGGCAGAACTCCCCAAACGAAAATTAGCAAACAAGCATGACGTCATCATATCGCCACGCCGCTGTCTGCGCAACCCCCCCCCCCACTCCCCGGGAGGAGGAAGGGGGGGGGCCCAGACCCCACCATTGGCGACCCAATCGTTAGTTCTTAGGCTGATGGGATCTGGTGCGATCGTGCCTCTGGCTCCAGTTTTCCGTTGCAGTTCTGTGCCCGGTGGTGCGTGGGCCAAGAGTGATACTCTACGGTACTCGAGGTGCATGCGCCTAGGGTTTCCTTCCCTAGGTGCCCTGTAAGTACTGCCCTTGGGGCTTGGGGCCACTTTTCACAAGTCACCTCGGGATCTACCTCCGCTGTGCTGTTTACTGCTCGGTATTTGGCCACCCTTGGGGTCAGCTGAGGTTTTTTCTTGCCCTTGTTTGTCTCTGGGTAGGGGTAGTTTTCATCATTGGTAGGGGCGCGGGGTACTGCACAGCTAGTTTTCACCAATAACAGCAACTGGCTCTGTTCCGACCGGGTACGTTATCCTCTTGCGGAGTTTTTCTTTTGTTTTCTGCCTGGTGGTGGGGTCTGCCTGTTGGTCCCCCATCGCTGTTCTTGGGGTATATCTATATCTTTATTTCTCCATTTTCTGTTGGTGGTGGTCCTTCCCGCTTGGCCTCCGTGAGTGTACACGTCCCGGGGGTTCAGCAACCGCTGGGTTGGCGGTTGCAGCCAGTTGTCTCGACTTCACGTTGAGGAGTGAGGACGGACCACCACCTGGGTAAGTCACTGTTTTTCCTTATCTTTGGGTAGTTAGCTCCGGGGAGCCGACGGGGCTTCCCCCAGAAAACCAGCGTTGAATGTAATGAAACGCAATTTTCTGGGTGAGTCCCGGAGGCTCCCCGGCATCCCTCCCTTCGGTTGGTGGTGTTTTCGTGTTTTGACATCCAGTCTAAGAACTAACAGTTGGGGCACCGACGGCGGGGGTCTGGGGCTTCCCCCTTCCCCCTCCCGGGGAGGGGGGGGGGGTTGCGCAGACAGCGGCGCTGCAACATGATGACGTCATGCTTATTTGCTAATTTTCGTTTGGAGAGTTCTGTCTACCTGTTCAGTCTTTGGTCACAATAGTTTACCAGAATAGTGGTTTGTTTTAAGGCGCCTACCTTTCTGGGTGCCTATCCCGGTCGATGGCAGACATAGAATGCTCCCAATCATAAGGGGGGGGGGGGGTCTCTATAGGCCATTGCTCCTTGTGCCTCTCTAGAGGGGGCCAGGTTCTGGCTCGTGGTTCCCGGTAGGCAAGAATTCCATGCATTGACTGATGCCAGAAAGTTATACATATCCATTCAGCCTGGATAGCTCCAGGGAGCCTCCGAGACTCACCCAGAAAATGGCTTTTCATTACATTCAACGCTGATTTTTTATTTCCAAAATATAAATTGTTTTACTGTTAAATAATAAAAACAGCATATATTGAGTGTCATTGGCTTCCAATTTTCGATGCTTTTGCAGCTTCTCCAAGTCCTGGACCAATGAAAATGACTCCACGAATGACAACACTGCATGAAGAGAATACACGAGAGGCAGCCCCACTCTTACACATGGAGGAGGAGGAGGAGGAGGAGGAGGAGGAGGAAATGGTGAGTGCAAAAACTGAATTAATTTTATTAATTATTTTTCCCATAAACTGTAATTTGTGTGTGGCCTATTTTCTCCTAATCCACATTCCATAACATGGCATTTATTCACATTAAACTCAATTTGCCAAGTACTGCTCCAAACACTTATTTGTTCAGGTCATCTTGAAAGGCATGGCAATCATCTAAGTCTCTTATCTTCCCTAGTAGCTTAGCATCATTAGCAAACATGTTCATATAGTTCTGTATTCCTTCAGGTAGATCATTTATACAGTATAGACAATGAACATTACTGGTACAATAACTGAACCCCTGTTGTGCTCCATTAGTAACATTTCTCCAGTCTGATACATTGTCTCTGATTACTGCCCTCATTTGATGGATTTTCTTATATTTATTTATATATACTGTACATGAGTTCTTACATTCTTGTAAAGCCACTAGCACGCATAACGTTTTGGGCAGGTCCTTAATCCAAATTTTTCCCCGAAATATGACTCCCCAAATAATTTAAGAACCAGGTACCTATTTACTGCTGGATGAACAGACTATAGTCAAGGATTGGCGCCCGGTCAATCCTCCCCGGCCAGGATACAAACCCAGGCCAAAGCGCTCGCAAAGCCCCGAGCGAGTGTTTTACCACTGCATCACGGGGAAAGCTTTTCAGGAGGTTTCTTTCCTTAGTTTGAACCTATGTCCTCTTGTGTTTAAAGTTACAGTTTTCAAAAATTCTTTGTCAGGAATTTTGTTGATTCCTTTTATTATTTTGTACATAGTGATCATATCACCACTTTCTGTGGGGAGTCCCATCGGCTCCCTGAAGCTATCCCACTGATATAGTGCTATTCTATTTGGGATCATCAGTCACAGAGTTCTTGTTGCCTACCAGGGACCAGCACTAGAACTGGTCCCATTAGAGAGGTGCAGGGAGCAATGGCCTATGAACATTTTACATTTAAAGTACATCATACTTGCCATCGACCAGGAAAGGCACCCAGAAAAAGTTGGTGAAACAAAACAGACTACAGCCTGGTTAAAAGTGCGACCTACTATACATCCTCAAAAGAGCAAAAGAACTCACCCAGAAGAAAACAAACAAGCAACACTTAGTCCAACTAGCCCCCCCGTTCGTTAGCGCCTCCCCCTCTTACAAGGGGTGGGAGAGTCGGCCCAGGTCAGCTGGGCTCCTCACATTTCAGTTCTTGACTGATGGTGCTGGCAGTTGGATATTGCCTCAGGTCTCAATTTCCTGTTTTGGGATTTTTGTCTTGTATGGCTGTTCATGCTCTTGTGGTGTGTGCTGGCCTGGAGTTCCTGGGTACTGGAGTTGCATGCATCTAAGGACACCCTCCCTAGGTGCTCCGTGAGTACTCCCCATGCGTGGTCAGGGTTTTCTTCCCTGGGCATTCGGGGTTCACTTCCCGTTAGAGGATTTTCTCTCTTGTGGTTGTCCTTGCCCTTGGGGTAAGTCAGGATTCTTGGGCTTTCTGCCTTGACCTGGGTAGGGGAGAGTTTGTTTGTAATTACCTAAGTGTAATTACCTAAGTGTAGTTACAGGATGAGAGCTACGCTCGTGGTGTCCCGTCTTCCCAGCACTCTTTGTTATATAATGCTTTGAAACATATAATGCTTTATAACATATAATGCTTTGAAACTACTGATGGTCTTGGCCTCCACCACCTTCTCACCTAACTTGTTCCAACTGTCTACCACTCTGTTTGCAATAGTGAATTTTCTTATATTTCTTCGGCATCTGTGTTTAGCTAGTTTAAATCTATGACCTCTTGTTCTTAAAGTTCCAGGTCTCAGGAAATCTTCCCTATCGATTTTATCAATTCCTGTTACTATTTTGTATGTAGTGATCATATCACCTCTTTCTTCTGTCTTCTAGTTTTGGCATATTTAATGCCTCTAACCTCTCCTCGTAGCTCTTGCCCTTCAGTTCTGGGAGCCACTTAGTATCATGTTTTTCACCTTTTCCAGTTTGTTGATGTGCTTCTTAGGATATGGGCACCACACAATCGCTGCATATTCTAGCTTTGGCCTAACAAAAGTCGTGAACAATTTCTTTAGTATATCGCCATCCATGTATTTAAAAGCAATTCTGAAGTTAGAAAGCGTGGCATAGGCTCCTCGCACAATATTCTTTATGTGGTCCTCAGGTGATAGTTATCTATCTAGAACCACCCCTAGATCTCTTTCTTTATCAGAATTCTTTAAAGATTTCTCACATAATAAATAGGTTGTGTGAAGTCTGTTCTCCTATTCCGCATTCCATAACATGGCATTCATTAACATTAGATTCCATTTGCCAAGTGGTGCTCCATATACTTATTTTGTCCAGGTTATCCTTCCTATTATTTTAGCATCATCAGCAAACATGTTCATATAATTCTGTATATCAACTGGTAGATCATTTATGTAGACAATAAACATCATATGGATGTTTATTGGGAGTATGGGAGTATGGGAGCTGGTCGGCCGAGCGGACAGCACGCTGGACTTGTGATCCTGTGGTCCTGGGTTCGATCCCAGGCGCCGGCGAGAAACATTGGGCAGAGTTTCTTTCACCCTATGCCCCTGTTACCTAGCAGTAAAATAGGTACCTGGGTGTTAGTCAGCTGTCACGGGCTGCTTCCTGGGGGTGGAGGCCTGGTCGAGGACCGGACCGCGGGGACACTAAAAAGCCCCGAAATCATCTCAAGATAACCTCAAGATCACTGGTGCAAGAAATGAACCCTGTGGTACTCCACTTGTGACATTTCTCCAGTCCGATACATTGCCTCTGATCACTGCCCTCATTTTTCTATCGGACAGAAAATTTTTCATCCATGTTAGAAGCTTACCTGTCACCCCTCCAATATTTTCCAGTTTCCAGAATAACCTCTTATGTGGAACTCTGTCGAAAGCCTTTTTTAGGTCCAGATAGATGCAGTCAACCCAACCATCTCTTTCCTGTAATATCTCTGTTGCTCGATCATAGAAACTGAGTAAATTCGATACACAGGTTCTTCCAGATCGAAAACCATACTGTCTGTCTGATATTATATAATTTCTCTCCAGGTGTTCTACCCATTTAATTTTAATTATTTTTTCCAATATTTTGTCTATTACACTTGTCAATGATACCGGTCTATAATTAAGGGGGTCTTCCCTGCTTCCACTTTTGTAGATTGGAACTATGTTAGCCTTTTTCCACACATCAGCTACAACTCCTGTAAACAGGGATGCCTGAAAAATCAGTTGAAGTGGAATGCTGACCTCAAGTGCACATTCTCTCAGAACCCACGGTGAAACTCCATCTGGACCAACTGCTTCGTTCTTATTTAGATAATTGAGCATTTTTTCCACTTCGTCTCCAGACACCTCTATGTGCTCTGTTGTTCTCTGGAATTCTTATTGTATCTGGTTCCCTGAAGATTTCATTTTGTACAAACACACTTTGGAACTTTTCGTTTAATGTTTCACACATTTCCTTTTCATTCTCCATGAATCTATTTCCCATTTCCAACCTCTGAATATTATCCTTTACCTGCAATTTGTTGTTTATGAATTTATAGAATAGACCTGGTTCTGTTTTACATTTGTCTGTAATCCCTTTTTCAAAATTTCTTTCTGCCTCTCTCCTCACTGCCATGTAGTTGTTTCTTGCATCTTTGTATCGCTGGTATGTTTGGGGGTTTGGCCTCTTCCTGTATTGATTCCATTTTTGTGTCTTTTGCTCTCTGGCCCTCTCACAATTTCTATTGAACCAATCCTGTTTCCTAGTTCTGCATCTCTGTTTTGGTATAATTTTTTTTGTGCCTTTAGGCCATAAATTTATGGCCTTTAGGCCATAAATTTATGGCCTAAGATCTCCATTTGCTCTGACTGATGCCAGGGTCAAATACATTCATATCAGCCCAGCTAGCTCCGGGAGCCTCCGGGTCTCACCCAGAAAATGGTGTTTTATTACATTTAACGTTGGTTTCTTGTTTTAATATAAACTTCAATAATATTTTGCTATCATGTCTGCCCACCAGTCAGCCACCAATCCATCTACCCTGCCCACCCACCTGCCAGCCCACCCACCCTTAATTACTTAATTAAATTAATAACGTTAATGTAAAATTAATGAATAAATTAAGTAATTAATGTAAAATCAATCGATTAATTACATTAATTAATGTAAATTTAATAAATTAATTACACCCTTAATTACACTTTGGTAATTACACTTAAGTAATTACTCTTAGGTAATTATCCACCCACCTCCCAGCCCACCTGCCAACCTATCACCACTCCCACCTGTCCGCCTGCCTGCCAGCCAGCCAGCTCACCTGCCTGCCCACCCACTTATTCCACCTACAAATCAGCCAACCAGCCATCCTGCCCATCACCCATCAATCCTATTGCTCTCCCAAATATGACTTAAAAGTTATCAACATTTTAATACCTCTGGATTTAGTGGAGCCTTGGATTTAATGACCTGGGTACCGTCCCATGTAAGCCGTTAAATCGAGTGGATACTGTATTATAATAAGTTGCTAGGCATGCTACTGTTATTTGATGACATTCTCACTATGACTCTCACTATAAAAAATTTATAAAGAAAGTAATTCAAATATTAAGGAGTTTAACCTTTTCCATGAATGTCAAAATTTTGACTTTCAGAATTGTATTGCAAATGGATCTTCAGGATATACCAATGGAGAAGAAGACTTTAGTGATTTTGCTTCATACAGAAGTGCTGGTTTGGCTGGTGGCCGACTGCAGCTTTCTCAGAGTCGTACATTAGATTCCCTTAATGAAGTTTCTGCCACAAAAGCTGGGACACCATCTACAGTATCGAGGTAAAACTTGCTAACTTTGAGCTGGAAAGTGGAATATCATGGACATTGTAAAAACACATACCAGTGCAGAAGATAAATAGGTTGACTAATTGTGTACACTGTATTAGCCCTTTAACTGCACAACGTGCCTGCAGGCCCACGTCTGGGGTGCGCTACGTGCCTCCGGGTATTTGTATTTTTCATGTTCCATTCAAAACTCCTGCGGCTACATGGGGTTCACATCAGCTTCCTCAGGGCTCTTGTAAACAGACGCCATCTTTAAAAAATATAGTGGTCCACATTCCCGGGTCTGAGAGCTTCAGTATTGAGTGAGCAATCAAGGCTGGCGCTTGCAGCATGAGCGCACAGCACTGCTGTTCAGTATGTGACCACAGCATCGCCTAATAATGTCAAAATATATATATAACCTGTATTATTTAGCCATGAAAGTATTATAGAAGAGCCTGAGTGTATTACTTAACCTATACCTATTATAGGTATAGGTTAAGTAATAATTGTAATTACGAAGCAATAAGATGCTTATCTTAACATACTTAGAAGATTAGGTAAGGTCGGTGTGTTCTATGAAGCTTTTCAAGGTAAACTAGTATGTTTAGTATGTCACCTATGCATGTATTTAATAAGTCAATATTGACTGTAAGAAAGTGCGAGAGCGGGTTGCACAGACACTCCACATCGTTCATCTCAATGTCCTTATCACTAGTATCAGATGCCCGTGTTAGGTCTTTATCCGAAATGTAGTCTTCAATATCACTGATAGGGTCATCATCATCAAACAATATGTCCTGTATTTCCACATCTGAGAGTTGTTTCTCAGCAATGCAACTGATTGGGAACCGGGAGCTGGATGTGGATGCATCAGACATGGTTGCTACCTTGAAAGTGAACCTTCCCACAGCTGTGAGGCATGCTGGGATTTTTTTCAAAATAGTGAACACTCACTGGAGGCCTCAGGCTTCCATCTTGTACTCAAGTGACCATGCGCCAGGTTTGAATCCTACAATATACCTACAATCGCCTTATGGTGCCCTGCACACCCCTTGATCCAGCACCTTAAAGCACTCTGTGCAGTGCAGAGGTTAAGGATGAGGAGTTTTCACAGGAACAGTTTTTAAGATACATTGATAACAATTAATTATGTAAATTAAACCTTTACAGTGCTATTCATAGTATTTTTAGCAACCATTAAAATTAGTATTGCATTCTGAATAATGTCATATCAAAAGAGTTGATCTCTTGTGTTTTCTCTTTGATCTTCAGTGGGTATGGCTCCGGTGCAGTATCATCAACAACCTTGAGTGAAGATTCTCTCTCTGTGCGCAGTGTCAGTGTTGATGAAACCCCAGATAAAGACCTCCCTACAAATCATACCACCATGGATCTGTCCACAATTAGGTATTATTGTATATCCAAACATATTTTTTCACATAAACATTAAGCTTGATTAAGGATAAAACATGCATTATACATTAGATAGAATTTATTTAATTTTATTTAACTCCATGTATAGTATATATTTTGATATTTGCCCAAAAATAATTTTTCTCTGCATATACAGTGATTACTAGAGTCGATAAAGTACTGCATATAACAATTGCTAAACAGTTTGTATTGGCTACCCATTACATTTTTTGTAACAAAAGCAATAATAACTACAGTATTGCTATCATGGTCCACCCGCTCAGAGTGTAACCAACATTAAACATTTTAGGCCTCAAAAGGCCCTATTCAGCAATGCATAAATTGTTCATACTCCTTTTACATTCTCTAAGTTATTTTCTGTGGAGAGGCCTCCTTCCTTGGGGTGGTCCTCACCCTTAAGGTAAGCCAGGGGTCTTGGGCTTTCTGTTTTGCCTGGGGTTTGGGGGTGTTTTTGGCTGGTGGGGTGCACTGCGGTTGCTCAGCGTACACTTTCCACAGGTGTTTAACCCCTTAACTGCGCCAGCTGAGTATTCTCAGTCACTTTTTTATTTTTTGGTACTAATTCAAAACGTGTGCACGGTTGGTTGTGTACGAGATGGATGCCTGAGGCCGTCAGTGAGCGGCGGCCATTTTGAAAAAAAATCTTAGAATGCCCCAGGCCTGAGGGTAGCCTCAGTTTTGATCGAGCAACCATGGCCGATGCACGCGCCTCCAGCTCCCAGTTGCCTGTGGGATGTGCTGTTGCAAAACCGCTTTCTCCAGGGGAGATAAACAGTTTATTGTTTGAAGATGAAGTGGAATATTATATTGATGACCCAAGGGTTGATAGAGACATAACACAAGGGTCCAGTGAAAGTGAAACAGATACAGATGAAGACGATACAGTGAGTGTGTATCGTTCAGGGCGAGCTGCACGTACAGTGAAGCGTCACAAGTCATCGCCCTTGCCAGTATTATCTCCACCACCACCTCCATCTCCCATATTTGACGAAAGTGATACTATTGAGTCATTTTCTGTTTAGTGACGCTGCTTCTGATACAAGTAGCATAGATGAGGCAAGGGCTAGCAGCTACCGTTGTGGCGGTGTTACCAGGCACAAATCTGCTGTCTCAGCAGGTCGCCCTGCCAAGCGCTGCCATGTCACAACAACACTGATGACAGTGTTGCCTCTACATCTACTTTCCCTGCTCGCCCTACTAGTAGACAAGATAGAAGACCTCCAACTCCTCCCCATAGGAGATTTAGTGCAAGAAAACGCACCCATAGTGGAGTCAATCGTCGCGGTGCTAATAGGAGAACGGCTGAATTTGTGTGGGAGGACTGTGATATTTTTGTACCACACAAACCTCAATTTGATGAGTGATGTGGGGGTTGCACCCATGTTCCTGTACACAGGTGAAGACATGATGGAATGGAATATTTTCGTGCATATTTTAACGAGCAGTTCATGCAACATCTTGTTGCCGAAACCAACAGATATGCAGGGGAATTTATTGAAGGAGGAATATTACAGGCTTCACGTATGATATGTTGGAAGGACACCATTGTGGCTGAGCTGTATGTGTTCTTTGCTCTATGTATGCTCCAAAAACATTCGGAGAAGCAAATTATACAGGATTATTGGAACAAAGAAGCTGCCATTCCATCACCTGTGTTCAGCAAGTACATGTCACGAGACAGGTTTCTGCTACTACTACGGTGCCTACACTTTGAAAACCTTTAAAATTTTTATAGAAATAATCGACTTTGGAGAGTGTGAAAAGTGTTCAATGATCTCGGAGGGAAATTTCGTGATTACTTTGTACCTGGACAGAATGTTGTCATTGATGAATCCCTAGTTCTTTTCAAGAGACGTCTTCTCTTCAAACAGTACATCCCATCGAAATGGCACCATTTTGGCCTCAAATTTTTTGTACTGTGCGAATGTGAAACCGGAATGGTGATCGATATGATATATTCTGGTACAGACGTAGACATACCCTCAGAGGATCCTCTCTGGTTTTCTGGCAGTGTAGTGAAAACGCTAATGGAACCACTGCTGATCAAGGGGCACATTCTGTACACTGACAATGTAAGGTACATTGTCAGTGTACAGACACTCGGTGGCACGGGCCATTCAAGCACTGCGAGTTGCCACAAATATATTTTCAATTATTTGTTCTATGTAATTTCTGATGTGGTTTTATTTGTTTTTCTATCGTATATGATGCATATTTGTGTCCTTTACAATATGTATACAGTAGAACGTTCCTAATGTTCTCTGGAACTGTGATACATTTGTCAGTAATGTGTCCACAATAAATGTTTATTGTCGCAATATTACTTGTTAAAAATTCACTAAAATTACAATATATACAGTTTCACACACTATTTACACAGTAACACACTGTATTATACACTCAGTACTTTGGAAGTGAGTAATAATCAATGAAGTAGTCCTTGGTACAGTGTGACTTCGCTCTCATTGCACCAGGTACAGATAGATTTTCGCTTCCCGTTTCTTCGTTCTGTGTGCTTGCAAATAATGCACTCGCGTACACCCTTAGCTTTAGTACTTGTAGGTGGTATATAGCCAAGCTTGTAAAGCATAAGGTAGTCTTGAAAAGATTATAGGAAAAGATCAGTTTGTAAGGTAGCCTTGAAAAGATCGCTTTGTAAGGTCCCACAATGGAAGAGATTCAGCTGTCCTCGAAGAGTGTCAGTCAATCTGTAAGAAATTCAAGCATTCTGGAAGAGATTCAGCTATTCTTGAAAATATCTATGGAAAGCACGACCATGGAAGCCGCTAACACTGTTCATCTATGCTACTTTTATCAGATGCATCATCACTGAACCCAGAAAACGATTCATCTATGTATCCTATCTAAAAATTGGAGATGGTATAGGTGGGCAAGGGTGACGCTCAGAGCTACTACTGGATACACTCGCTGTATCATCCTCATAGGTGCTGTATCATAATGCTAGGTCATTACATTCGACGTTGGTTTTTTGGGGTTATAACTATAAATTTGTTATCAAAATGTTCGTAAATTAGCCTCAAGAGAATAAATATAAAATGAGGGTTGTATTTATAATAGATTACATGTGAAAGCAATGAATATGTGAATGTCTATAAATATCAGATGACGCATGTCCGTGTCATCGAAACATTTACTGTCAGGGTACAGATGATGCGTTTTAACAATGTTGGAATCCAAAAATGTTTACATAATTTGTTCTTAAATACATCACAAAACAATAAATAGCTTCAGTACTTGGATACCACTCCACAAGCTTCAGATGTTCCTTTTTGTATCAGATACCTCTGTTACCATTTTATGTGCACAATTATTCAGTGTGGTTTTCAGTATTGCTTTTATTTCACTTAAAAGTACTCATGTTTCTTCACTGCAACATTGCCTTCATATATTAAATGTATACATGTAATTTCAGTTCTGGAGAAAGTGACTCCAGTGATACAAGAACAGTAATCAATCAACAATTTGAGAGTCTTCGTTTTAATGAATCTTCAGAAACTTCTCATATCAACAATAGTCACACACAGTCTGAAAATAACTTGAAATTATTTGATGATGAAGAAAATAAGGAAAATTCAACGACTCAAATATTGAATTCTAGTAATATTCCATGTATCACTAATTCCTCCAAAATAATAAGCTCTACTCCTACAAAATCAGTGAGTCCAATTTCTCCTGCACTGTCCTCTTCCTCGTCTACCTCATCATTGTCAGTTAATACTAGTTCAGAAGTTGTGATGAGGCACAGCAATTCTAACAAGAGGAATCCTGCTCATCGTATGTCTTTCCCTCTCACCCAGTCTCATTCAGCAATAACTGATTATCATACAATGAATGGAGCATCATCATCTGAGTGTGTTGGTAAGAGAGAATCAATTTTATCATTTTCTTGTCAAAACATTGAATTAAAATTCTGTATAATTATGTGATACAGCACCAAAAAACAACTCTGAAATAGGTTTTGATATTTCTTCTTTAAACGTGCATTTAACATTTATATATATATATATATATCCATTAGATGATGCAGAGAAAACTCCATCTGTCATCAACAAGCCACTGGCATCATTACCAGACTGGTGTGAGGTTGGAGAGAGTATCCAAATCCGACCCTACAACTATTCAGGAGTCATTGCCTACATTGGCCACACTGAATTTGCACTAGGGACCTGGATTGGAGTTGAACTAGATGTTCCTATGGGTGAGGCACATATTTTAAATTAGGTTTACAGTTAGAACTTTATTACAGATGTCCTTAAACTTGTTAAATGAGGATGCATTCAAGGAAACCAAAGAAAGTCATGAAACTAGTAACTTTTGAACTTGTCTTATGAAACTTGTAGGGTTGCTTCCATATAGCACAGTAATTATAACAATAATAATAATATTTTGAATAATAATAATAATATTATTATTATTGTTATTATTATTATTATTATTATTATTATTATTATTATTATTATTATTATTATTATTATCTTATTCTCGCTAGAGTACATACATAGATACAATACATACATACATACTGTACGAACGCCAAGCAATGTTTATTAAAGCATATAGGAAAATACATTAATTAGAACTAACATATTCATTGTCAATACAGAGGTACCTCGGTTTAAGAGTTTAATCCATTCCTGGGGACGGCTCGTAACCCGAATACTCGTAAACCGAAGCTAATTTCCCCATAAGAAATAATGGGAAATGGATTAATCCATTCCTGACTACCCAAAAACCTCACTTCAAACTAAATTTTATACCCAATTCATTGAAATCACACTATAAAACTATGTTCAAGTTATTACTTACCCTTGCTGAGGACTGCTGTTGGCATATGGAAGATGGTGAGGAGGGGGGAGGAGAAGAGGTGTTACTGTTTGAAAGGGGAGTTCCCTTCCATTATAACATCAGGCAGTGAGGACCTCTCTGGAGTGCATTCTCTGGCACATTTTGCCTGCATACCACTAGGTCCTGGTTGTGGCTCACTGCTCGATGTTCTCAAAACAAAGCAGTCCATTGATGATTGTTTTCCCTTCTCCGCAAGGTGTCTGTAGTGAGGCATCACATTGTCATTGAAAAGATTAATGCAACGGCCTACTACAGCTTTCTCTGGGCGAGTCGTTTCAATAAAAGTTTGCATTTCTTCCCACATCTAGAAAAATGAGGGCAGTAATCAGAGGCAATGTATCGGAATGGAGAAATGTCACAAGTGGAGTACCACAGGGTTCAGTTCTTGCACCAGTGATGTTTATTGTGTACATAAATGATCTACCAGTTGGTATACAGAATTATATGAACATGTTTGCTGATGATGCTAAGATAATAGGAAGGATAAGAAATTTAGATGATTGTCATGCCCTTCAAGAAGACCTGGACAAAATAAGTATATGGAGCACCACTTGGCAAATGGAATTTAATGTTAATAAATGTCATGTTATGGAATGTGGAATAGGAGAACATAGACCCCACACAACCTATATATTATGTGAGAAATCTTTAAAGAATTCTGATAAAGAAAGAGATCTAGGAGTGGTTCTAGATAGAAAACTATCACCTGAGGACCACATTAAGAATATTGTGCAAGGAGCCTATGCAATGCTTTCTAACTTCAGAATTGCATTTAAATACATGGATGGCGATATACTAAAGAAATTGTTCATGACTTTTGTTAGGCCAAAGCTAGAATATGCAGCTGTTGTGTGGTGCCCATATCTTAAGAAGCACATCAACAAACTGGAAAAGGTGCAAAGACATGCTACTAAGTGGCTCCCAGAACTGAAGGGCAAGAGCTACGAGGAGAGGTTAGAAGCATTAAATATGCCAAAACTAGAAGACAGAAGAAAAAGAGGTGATATGATCACTACGTACAAAATAGTAACAGGAATTGATAAAATCGACAGGGAAGACTTCCTGAGACCTGGAACTTCAAGAACAAGAGGCCATAGATTTAAACTAGCTAAACACAGTTGCCGAAGAAATATAAGAAAATTCACCTTCGCAAATAGAGTGGTAGACGGTTGGAACAAGTTAAGTGAGAAGGTGGTGGAGGCCAAGACCGTCAGTAGTTTCAAAGCGTTATATGACAAAGAGTGCTGGGAAGACGGGACACCACGAGCGTAGCTCTCATCCTGTAACTACACTTAGGTAATTACACTTAGGTAATTACATCTGTTACCACTTCTTAATGATTGCAGAAGGGACATTCTCTTCTGCCTCCTCCTCCTCCACTGGAGAAACATCCTCAGCTGTGTCTCCTTGCTGTTCCTATTGAAGGGCTTGGAGTTCGTCGGTGGTTAGTTCTTCATTGTGTTCTTCCACCAACTCCTCCACATCAGCACCATTCAATTCCAAGCTCATTTGCCGGCCCAGAGTAACAATTTCCTCAACAATAGGCACATCATATACAGGCTCAAATACCTCAAAGTCTAGTTCTGTCACACATTCAGGTCACAATTTTCTCCAGACAGAGATCAGGGTTCTTTGAGTCACTTCTTGCCAAGATTTGTCAGTTTTAAAGCACTACAAATGTTAAAATGGTGTTTCCTGAACTCTCTGAGGGTGAGTTTTGTGGCTTCAGTCACTTCAAAACATTTCCGGAAAAGTGCCCTTTCATAAAGTTTCTTAAAATTCTCTATGATTTTCTGGTCCATAGGCTGAATTAGAGGAGTGGTGTTAGGAGGAAGGAACTTTACTGTGAGAAATTTACTGTATCTGTGCAACAATTCATCTTCCAAGCCTGGAGGATGAGCAGGAGCATTGTCGAGGAGAAGCAGGGCCTTGAGTAGCAAGTGTTTCTCCTGCGGATATTTTTCTATGGCAGGGCACACCACTTCAGTCACCCACTCCGAAAAAAAACTCCTTGTCACCCATGCCTTATTATTAGTCCTCCACATTACATACATTTGGTTTTTCTGCACTTTATACTGTTTGAAAACCCTTGGATTTTCAGAATGATACACAAGCAAGGGTTTAATTTTCAAATCGCCACTCGCATTTGAACACAGCATAAGCGTAAACCTATCTTTGTTCGGCTTTGTCTGGCTACCTATCCGGCTTGTGTCCGGGCAATGATTTTTCCTCTTTGGTAATATATGTCCTCTTAGGCAATCTTTTCCAGAACAATCCTGTCTCATCACAATTAAACACTTGTTGTGGTAGATATCTTTCAGCCTCTGCAAACTCTTTAAATTCTTCAATAAATCTTTCAGCCACTGGTTTGTCTGAGCTGGCAGCCTCCCCATGCCTCACAACACTATGAATACCACTTCTTTTTCTAAATTTCTCAAACCATCCCCCTACTTGCCTTAAACTCTTTCGTATCTGCATCACTCCTTCCAGGGGTTTTCTTTACAAGGTCTTCGTGCAATACCCTGGCTTTCGCACAAATGATGGCCTCTGAAACACTATCACCCTTTAACTCCTTGTCGTGTATCCAAATTAATAACAATTTTTCCACATCTTCAAGTATTTGTGGTCTTTGTTTTGTGATTGTTGATATGCCTTTTGCCACTTTAGCACTCATAATGTCCTTTTTCTTGGCAAGTATAGTGCATATCATTGATGTGGATTTGTTGTACTGCCTACAAAGTTCAACAACATGTGCACCATTTTCATGCTTCTGAATGATCTCTTGCTTTTCCTCTATTGTTCTCCTCACATGTGATTTATGGTCAAATAGAAAAAAATCCAAAAAGAAAGAGTAAATCCTTGTGAAGAATTCAGGTGGGATAGTCACTGGGCTTGAGGCACTGGTAAACTGAGCGGTGATCGCCATTCCACCACGCACTAGATCGGCCCGTACACGTATCAACACCCTCGTATCCTGAGGTAACGCTCGTATCCCGATACAAATTTTCCGAGCAAATCCTGCTCGTAACCCGAAAAACTCGTAACCATGGGCGCTCGTACTCTGAGGTACCACTGTATCTTTAACTTCAATTATCTCTCAAATAGGAATTTCAACTTTGAGACCCGATAAAAAATTCAATTTTTGACCAATTCTCACCAATTTTAAATATTATATGCAATGTTTTTAGTTCTATAATCTCCTACATTTTTAGTCATATAGTCATAACGTATGGAGTTATAATTTTTTACATATAAATTTGGCACATACAGTATTTGGATGGCCACATTGAAAAAATGTTTTACAGTAAACTATACTCTCAAACAATATTTTGTCCTAGAAACATGAATATTATATGCCATTCTGAGACTAACTGCTAATAAAATAACAATTGGGGACATTTTAAGATTTTTATCACTAATTTAAAAATGTGATTTTTGTTTTTTAACTTTTTTTCTGTTCATGGTATGATGTTGATCCATTAGGAAAAACTGGAGCATTTACCATGATGATATTATTCAAAAAAAATGTATTGTGTTTGTGGAAGTTTTGGTGCACTCTCACAGGGTTCCTAAAGGGTTAAAGTACTTCTATCTGCAGTGTTTTGTACTAATTTACTGATGGTAACTAGTTTTTCCTAATTGCTTGCCTAACTTCTGCTTCTTGGCCATTTGTGGTTTTGACTTCCAAACACATTTCCTTGATTGTGTCTCTCTCTTTTACAACTTGTGCATATGTCTCTCTTATTTCTTCTTTATACTTTTCTAGTTCTTTATTAGCCTCCTCTATTTGAGTTGCCAATGAAGTTTCTTGTTGCATCTACTTGCATCTACTTGCATCTACTCCATGTTAGCCCTCAGGCTCCCTTAGAGTTGTTCACCATATGAGTCTATTTTCTTGTTAGTTTCTTCAAATTCCCTACTCTTCACTTTCCATGCCTCATTTTCCTTTACTAGTTCCTTGATGTGTTCCTCCTGCATCCTTACCTTATCAGTCAAGCTGCAAATTTCCTTACCTTGCTGGAAAATACTTCCTTTCAAATTACAAAACTCAATCTTGAGACCTTCATTTTCTTGTTCTAATTTAATAACCTTTTCTTCATTATTCTTTAGCATGTCCTCAATAATCACTAACTTGCCAAGATAACCACCTTTCATTACATCTTGTTGCGAGAAACCTGCAAAACATTCCCTTGCTGGGGTACTGTCCTCCCCTGTGGGGAGGACAGTACCATCTTTGTTGACAGTCTGCTGTTTTGAAAGATCAACTTTTCTACCCAAGATTTTTCATTCACCAACACTTATTTCTTATCTCAGTTTATTTTCAAATTTCCTACACCTTCATGTGTTCTGGGACATCACGTGCAACCCTCACCCTACGCCCCACACTTAGATAATTTGAATTATCCTGGAGCCTGCAGCAGTGTGACTCTTCAGTGTATTAATCTATTTTTTTTTAAAGTGCATAGTGTGTATATGTGTAATTGATTGATAAAGATTCGGCGACCCAAGAGGTGGCATGGGCATGAAAGGGTACATGGGTGTGTGAGAGAAATATATAGTGGATATGATAGAGGAAAATAGATCAGGAGTCAGTACAGTAGACAACTGACAGTTTGAATGGTGGGGTCCAGTAGCTAACAGCTCAATCCTACAGGTGCAAATAATAAATGCACACCAAAATTCCAAAATTCCCCCATCTCCAAAAACCATTCTTCCCAAAATCTCCACACACCACCCTCTCATGTCTCCAAAAACCACCCTACGACATTTCCACACACTATCCTTCCCTGTCTCCCCACTCCATCCTCCCTTCTCTCCACCTGTCTTAAAACATCATGACCCTTGTCTCCACACACCACATTCCCCTCTCCATACCCCACCCCCATCACTACACACCCCCTCTCCCCAAGTCTCCACACCCACCATCTTCTTTCCACAAACTTCCCTCACCTCCCTCTCCAAATAGCCCAACCACTTGGGCTGGATAGTAGAGCGACGGCCTCACTTCATGCAGATCACCATTCAATTCCTGACTGTCCAAGTGGATGGGCAGCATTTCTTCCCCTCATCCCATCTCAACTCCTTTTCCTGATCCCTACAAAGTGCTGTATACTGTAGTCGTAATGGCTTGGCACTTTCCCCTGATAATTCCTCCCTTCCTTCTCTCTCTCTCCACATATTGTACATCCTCCACCTCCCTCACTATACCACCCTGATGTTCCTTTCCATCCCTTTACCTCCCTCCCAACACACGCATGCCATCTTGCCCATCACTAACCGTTTTCCTTACACACTATCTGCATCAGTGGATGCCTTTAGAATTCAAATCTATCATCTGTTATTTAAATGCTATAGTCTGTGGACTATGAATATAAAACTTCTAAAAACTTCATGAAAGAGGGGTATTGGAGCCGTGGCCCCTTCTGGAGGTACTGCACCGACCCCTTTCACCCTGTGACACTTGCGATAAATGAGGCTGCCTCCAACCTCTAACAGACATTTTCTTTAGATATATATAGAATAGATGGATATAGATATATAGAATAATGGATATAGATATATAGAACAGATGAATATAGATATATAGAATAGATAGATATAGATATATAGAATAGATAGATATAGATATAATAATAATAATAATAATACTGCTCTTTTCACAGGCAAAAATGATGGTTCAGTAAATGGTGTTCGATATTTTGCCTCTCGTCCAAAATGCGGCATGTTTGTCAAGCCAGAGAAACTACTTTTGGATCGAAGAGGGCGTGCTATGAGACTTGCACGAAGTAATGGCACAGAAGGTGGATTGGGTGATATGAAGCGTTCGCGATCCACTGCAGAGAGACTCAGTGATGTGGGCATTAGAAAAGGCACCAGCAAAAGTAATCAAATTTAGCATTTTTATTTTAGTTTACAGTGGTATTTGTAGTTTAAAGTATTCTTAGTAAATTTAAAGTTATAAAATACATTATCTACTGCATGATTTATTAGCAGGAAAATATAATTGTTAAATATAATGAAAGGTCCCTCTCTTGGGGCCCTCGGTATCATCTCATGACCTACCAAGAGCGGTGACTAGAATCGTGCTATCGCATTGTGGCAAAATGACTGAAATGTCACAAAACTTAAACAGTAATAGGGAAATATTTGGTACAAATGAATATCAAAGCTTAAAGTTATCCCAAATTATCAAAATATCACCCTGCTGCTGCTACTTCATGCCATGAAATGGCAGCAATAGTCAACTTGTGTCCAGCATACCCCAGCTTGTTCAAGCCTCTGCAAACCCTGAGAATGAATGGTTTAGTAGGGAAAAAAAGGGGACTTGAAAGAGGAATCCAATAAGGGACCCCAAGAAAAGGGCATTTAATTACAATACACTTGATGCTCTATTTCTGAGGCAAACTTCTAAGTATCTTCCCAGAGCTTTCTCCTCATGATGTTTTGCATTATAAAGTCCGCAACTCAAATTGAAAATGCATGCAAGTCTGACCCTTGAATATCAAGCCTATGGATGTTGGAAGGATGTACCCTGGAAACACAAACCGAAACCCTCTCTATTTTCCGCTTGTTACAACTTGTAATAAAGTTGTTACATCTTGGCTTAATGTGTTTATGACGTATTAGAACGTTGTTACAACTTGCTATATTGGTTGTTATAACTGGTTAGGATGTGTTAAAACTTGTTCCAACGTTGTATCAACGTCGTAGTTTCGGTGTGTGTTTGGCGGGTAGCACTCGGTCCACACCTGTGAGAGCTGAAGAGCTCCATTGTGTTTTGAGATTTGAGTGTGATAAACAAGCCATATCACAATGAAAGTGTCTACAAGAAGTGATTATGGCTAGAAGATCTTTAACACTATTGCGCGCGGTTCGGGCACGCCGCAAACTGTGAAGTCTGCTCCCGACGGTTTGGGCGAACGTGCGGCGACACCAAAATGTGTATACTCATATCAGTTTTCCCACCTTAATTCTTGTGCTATGTCATTCATTTTGGTATCACTGTGTTCGCAATAGAATTCTCCACAGGGGTATATGCATATAAGGTCTAAAAGCCCGGCATGACTCCACACAGCAAAGCCTAAAGTCGGCCAAGTTACCTCATGTAATTGGAAGCAGTCTATGTCGGCCATCTATCAGGTCAGGCACCCAGAAAGGTTGGAATTCCAAGATAAACTAGAGTTGTTTAAAAATTGCAAACTGAAAGCCGAACTAGCAAGCAGAACTTCCCAATCGAAAACAAGCAAAAAAGCACTATGTCACCACAGCCGCTGCGCCGCTGTCTGCATAACTCTCTCCTCCCTGGGAGGGGAAGGGGATGTACAAGACCTCCCGCGCTGGCTACCCAATCCCGGTTTACAAGCTGTTGTGTTTGGTGATAGTTGATCGACTCTGGCTCTATCCTTTTGAGCAGTGGTGTCTATAGCAGTGTTGTTCTACTGTAAATACCTAAGTGTAGTTATAGGATGAGAGCTATGCTCGTGGTGTCCCGTCTTCCCAGCACTCTGTCATATAACACTTTGAAACTACTGATGGTCTTTGCCTCCACCACCTTCTCACCTAACGTGTTCCAACCGTCTACCACTGTTTGCGATAGTGAATTTTCTTATATTTCTTCGGCATCTGTGTTTAGCTAGTTTAAATCTGACCTCTTGTTCTTAAAGTTCCAGCTCTCAGGAAGTCTTCCCTATCGATTTTATCAATTCCTGTTACTATTTTGTATGTAGTGATCATATCACCTCTTTTTCTTGTCTTCTAGTTTTGGCATATTTAATGCCTCTAACCTCTCTTCGTAGCTCTTGCCCTTCAGTTCTGGGAGCCACTTAGTAGCATGTCTTTGCACCTTTTCCAGTTTGTTGATGTGCTTCTTAGGATATGGGCACCACACAACCGCTGCATATTCTAGCTTTGGCCTAACAAAAGTCGTGACCAATTTCTTTAGTATTTCGCCATCCATGTATTTAAAAACAATTCTGAAGTTAGAAAGTGTGGCATAGGCTCCTTGCACAATGTTCTTTATGTGGTCCTCAGGTGATAGTTTTCTATCTAGAAGCATCCCTAGATCTCTTTCTTTATCAGAATTCTTTAAAGATTTCTTACATAATTTATAGGTTGTGTGGGGTCTATGTTCTCCTATTCCGCATTCCATAACATGGCATTTACTCACATTAAATTCCATTTGACAAGTGGTGCTCCATATACTTATTTTGTCCAGGTCTTCTTGAAGGGCCTGGCAATCATCTAAGTTTCTTACCCTTCCTATTATCTTAGCATCATCAGCAAACCTGTTCATATAATTCTGTACACCAACTGGTAGATCATTTATGTAGACAATGAACATCACTGGTGCAAAAACTGAACCCTGTGGTACTCGACTTGTGACATTTCTCCAGTCTGATACATTGCCTCTGATTACTGCCCTCATTTTTCTATCGGTCAGAAAATCTTTCATCCATGTTAGAAGCTTACCTGTTACCCCTCCAATATTTTCCAGTTTCCAGAACAACCTCTTATGTGGAACGCTGTCGAAAGCCTTTTTTAGGTCCAGATAGATGCAGTCAACCCAACCATCTCTTTCCTGTAAAATCTCTGTGGCTCGATTATAGAAACTGAGTAAATTCGATACACAGGATCTTCCAGATCGAAAACCATACTGTCTGTCTGATATTATATCATTTCTCTCCAGGTGTTCTACCCATTTAGTTTTTATTATTTTTCCAATATTTTCACTATTACACTTGTCAATGATACAGGTCTACAATTGAGGGGGGTCTTCCCTAATGCCACTTTTGTAGATTAGAACTGTTAGCCTTTTTCCACACGTCTGCTACGATTCCTGTACACAGGGATGCCTGAAAGATCAGGTGAAATGGAATGCTGAGCTCAGGTGCACATTCTCTCAGAACCCATGGTGAAACTCCATCTGGACCAGCTGCTTTGTTCTTACTTAGCTCCTTTAGCATATTTTCCACTTCGTCTCTAGACACCTCTATACACTTTATGTTGTTCTCTGGAATTCTTATTGTGTCTGGTTCTCTGAAGATCTCATTTTGTACAAACACACCTTGGAACTTTTCGTTTAATGTTTCACACATTTCCTTTTCATTTTCTGTGTATCTGTCCCCCATTTTCAACCTCTGAATATTATCCTTTACCTGCAGCTTACTTTTAATGAATTTATAGAAAAGGCCTAGATCTGATTTACATCTGTCTGCTATACTGTTCTCAAAGTTCCTCTCTGCCTCTCTCCTTACCGACATTTGGAAAAATTTGTGCTCGTGTTTGTGTGTGTTTGCCGTTCTGTTGGCTGTCTTCATTTGTGTTTTGGGCAGATATTCAGGCAATATTTCATGAGGTTTTTTGTGGGCGGCCAGGGTTAGGCAGCTTGTCATCGTTACTGGGTTCTCTGTGACCTTGTGTTTCCCTGGGGTGTCTGTCATGCTTATCGGTCTTGCCTTTGAGTTGTTACCTGTGGTACCTGTACTTCCAACTCCTTGGTAAGTCCCGTTTTCCTTGCTCTGTGGATAGTTAGCTTCCAGGAGCCGACAGGGCTTCCCCCAGAAAACCAGTGTTGAATGTAATGAAATGCCAATTTCTGAGTGAGCCCTGGAGGCTCTCCGACACCCTCCCCACTATGGTCGGCCGATTTTCTTCATCCCTGAACTGACAAGTGACGGCCTGGCTGACCCGGGCCGGCGCCCCCCCCTCCCCCCCAACGAGGGGGGGAGATGAAGCTAACTGACAGGGGGCTGGTTTGATGAAGTTTTGGTTGGTTTGTTTCCTTTTAGTAAAGATCTTTTGATATTGTGGTTTTGTGTCTTATATTAAACCATGCAGTGGTTTGTTTTGATATGCCAGGTTCTGGTTCGTGGTCCCCGGTAGGCAAACCACGAACTCCACGACTGATGACACTCCAGTAGTATGGCACTTGTGTACCATAATATGGTTTGGTAGTATGGTATGTGAGAGGAGCATATGCATCACTTTCCAACTTCAGACTTGCTTGAATATGGATGGTGAAACACTAAAGAAACTGTTCATGACTTTTGTGAGACCAAAATATGCAGTAGTTGTATGGTGCAAATCTCAAGAAGCACATAAATAAACTGGAAAGGTGCAGTGACATGCTACAAAATGACTTCCGGAACTGAAAAACAAGAGTTATGAGGAGAGAGTGGAGGCGTTAAACATGCAAAAACAAGAAGATAGAAGAAAAAGAGGTGATATGATCACTACTTACAAAATACTAACAGGAATTCCTGAAACCAGCAACCTCACAAACAAAAGAACATGGATTCAAGCTAAGGAAACAAAAGTGCTAAAAAATAATAGAAAGTTTTCCTTTGTAGAGTGGTAGACAATTGAAACAAACTACTGTATAGACGGTGGTAGAGGCCAAAACCATCAGAAGTTCCAAAAGATTTTATGACAGGGTACTGGGAAGAAGGGACACCACGAGCGTAGCTCTCATCCTTTAACTGCGCATAGGTAATTACTTACAGCTTCAGGGAACCTCTAGGGCTCACCCAGAAATTGGTGTTAAAATACATCAAATGCTTTTTTTTATACTTTTTTTAATGAGGATGATTGTAATAATTCCCTCTGTGAGGGAACCAGATTCAGGCTTTAGTCCCCAATACGCCATGCTGGACTCCTAAGGCTGATGCGACTTAACAGTGGGGGGCTTCAGGCAGCCACCATTTCGCCCCCTCTAGAAAAAGAGCATTTCACGACATACAATGCTTGCTTTATGAATGCTGTTATATATAAAAGATTATGATGATCTTACAAATATGCATTTATCACCATGACATTTTTCTCCTCATTCGTTTGTAAAGTATTTTAAAACACTGGCTATATTTACCTACAGATTACAATTTTTCAGGTGACTGTCTCAACACCATGAGACGATCAAAGAGCCGAGCTGAAGGTCTCTCTTCAATGTCTGACCGCTCAAAATCTATGTTTTCTCGCAATAGAAAGTAACATGAAATCCATATCCAGAAACTTGCTCCAGAACTAAGGCTGTTATTGAGTGCACTCTATGAATTGTGTCAACTGAAGTACAGTAGAGCATACCAAATACAAGTTTTGGCTTGTGGTCATGTTGTTATTACTGTTAAAAGCTGGTTGTTTGGGAAATTACTAAAAGAAAATTAAAACAAAAAATTGGTAAGGGGAAGAAATTTAAAGCAAGCACAACCATGATAGAAGCCCCACCCTACCTTCCATCAAGTGTTATCCCGCAAATACGTCCCTGTTATCCCTCCATTGTGAGATCCTTATTGTATGGTAGCAATAGATATTGTACTTGTTTCAGGATTGAAGAACTTCCAGTATAGGACCCCACCAATGTTCTTTTTCTTTTAATACAAAATTAAATTTTTGTACTTGGGGATATTTTTTTATAACTTCAAATCCAAGGCATTGTTTGTTTGGAAAGAAATAATCATTGCCTTTAGAAATCAGTTTTGTCCAGAATGTATAGACTTCATACCATTTCATACCAATCCATGTACAGTGTAATGAAGACAAATATTATAGCAAAGCATAAATGTTTTTACTGGTGGTATGAATTGTGAAATATAGCATTTGCTTTGTGTGTTTAGAAGTCTTGGAACATAGGAATAGATGCTTCTGTGAAATGTGAAGAACTTGATCCTCCTCCCCCCCCCCCCCCCCAAAAAAAAAGTAGCAACAGTATTTTCATTTTTAAACATTAATAGTCCATCTGTCATTTCATTCTACTATTGCAGGAAAAAATAACGTTGTTTGATCAAGTACTTCAAGTATTTTTTAAAAAATGTTGTAAGTAATAATGATGATTGGTGAGGTCTTCATAATTCATCTGTATATAAAATTGTAACTATTTTCAGTCATTTTGTTGCCATATTCTTTAGTTGTACAGTTATTTTTATGCCAGTCCAATTGTGATCATCTTATTTATGGTAAATATTAAAATATATATACAAATATATACATACACACTCATTTTATTTATTTAAAAAAAATTAATATATATATATATATATATATATATATATATATATATATATATATATATATATATATATATATATATATGACATATGACAATGTCAGACCACGGAGGAAAAATGAAACGGGAAATTTCCTTAAGTACTTTCGTATATTAAATACATCTTCAGAAGGTCATTTTACAGATCGAGTGATGGGTATAAATAGGCAGGAAGGAGTGGTGAAGTAAGGTGAGGTACAATACTTGGACAAGTATTGTACCTCACCTTACTTGTAAAATGACCTTCTGAAGATGTATTTAATATACGAAAGTACTTAAGGAAATTTCCTGTTTCATTTTTCCTCCGTGGTCTGACATTGTCACATTCTTAATCACGTGTTTATTTTCATGATATACACACACACACACACACACACACACATAAAAGGTGGGGTAAAAGGTGACACCCCTAGGGTCAACACTTGCAGCAGAGGAGCTCCAGCATATTTCAACAATCCTAAGTATTGTAGTACAGGTTGATGGTAGTGAGTGGTGTCCCACAGAACATAAAGGTATAGTGCTCTTGAAAAGTAGGTGAGATAACAGGAAAGTGCTAAGGGAAGTGAAAAATCAGATGAGAAAAAGTTGCCCTAGTGTTTACAGTGCAGAGAAGAACATTCAAGATGGCCACTGGCAAGGGGAAAAACAAAACAGAGCTTGATTTTGAGGGATTCAATGAAGAAAGCATTGATATTAGTAGTCTACATAACAAGTTGGTAAATTTAGATACTATAGTGAACTCTCATGTAGAAATAATTAGTAAATTGAAAGAAAGTAATGACCATTTGAATAGCAAAGTTTTATGTCTTGAGGGTTTAGTGAAAGACTTGCGCAAGGATAAGAATCAATTGGAAACAAATTGCAAAGCCATGGAAGAAGAAAATAAACTCTTAAAAATAGCTTTGGAAGAAGTTAAAGTAAATTTAAACATAAATGACTACAATAGGTTAGGCAAGGAAATTCAACAGGAGAAACAGCTTTTGTCAGCACAGATGGAGGAAGTTACACAGGGAATAGAACAGTGCAAGAAAGATATGCAACTCACTTATGCACAAGTGGCCAAGGAGAAGGAAAAAATAGAAGAAGCAGTAAAGGAAGTCAAACACTGCAGCAACCAAGATAAAACAAACATTAGGCAAGAAGTGAGGAAAGAATTGGCATCTAACCCGAAGTTGGTGCAAAACACAGTTGATCGGAGTAAGTCCCTGATCATTTTTGGCTGCAAAGAAAAGGCGATAACATCTAGGTCAGAAAGAGCTGTAGAAGAAGCTAAAGTAGTAGATAAAATTGTTGGCCTCGTGGAAGGTCTTACAAACAGAGAGAATGTGTGCGACTACAGGAGAATAGGCAGGTACGTAAAAGGGAAAGATCGACCTTTGAGGATCACCCTAAACGGTGCCAAACAGATGGAAGAAGTACTAAGGAATGCTAGAAAATTGCAAAGGGATGAGGATGGGAAAGGGTGGTCGTTAAGACGAGATCTTTCAAAAGAAGATAGAGAGAAGCTGAAACTGAACCGCGCCGAGGCAAAACATTTAAATGAGAGCAGGAATGAAGAAGAAATAAATTCTTTTTTCTACAAAGTGATAGGGGTAGGCAAACCAGTAAAGTGGTACATAAAGGCAAACCAACAAAATCAATAGAGAGAGGGGGAGTGAAGAATAAGGAGAGGGGGAACAAGTTCCTGAAGATTGCATACACCAACATAGATGGAGTGAGATCGAAGATACTGGAGTTAAGTGATGTAATACAGCTGCAGACACCAGACATTGTTGCACTCACGGAGACAAAACTTGAAGATGTAATTTTAAATGAGGTCATATTCCCAAGGGGCTACTCAATTTGGAGACGGGACAGAAAAATTAGGAAAGGCGGTGGCGTTGCTGTGCTGGTAAAAGAACACCTAAAGGTGAAGGAAATAATGACTGCCAATCCACAAGAAGTTGACATAATAGCACTAGAGATCTGCTATGAGGATGATAAACTAATGATGATAAATGCATATAGTCCACCGCCAAGCAGCACATGGTCAAAGGAGGAGCTAGATAGTAAACGTGAAGGTCTTATAACAATAATGAGAGAGATTATAGCGAGAGCGGATAACGATAGATCACGACTGTTGATAGTCGGTGACTTCAACTTGAAATCCATAGACTGGGAAGCATATGAAGCTAAAACAGAAGATTTTTGGACCTGTAAATTTGTAGACCTCATCCTGGAAACATTCTTGTATCAACATGTTAAACAAGCTACGAGGATGAGGGAAGGGGACGTTCCCTCCATGCTAGATTTGATATTTACCAGGAAGGAGGAAGAGATATTTGACATTCAGTACCTTCCTCCTTTGGGTAAAAGTGACCATGTCTTTTTGGGAATAAAGTATGCAATGCGTTATAAGCTGGAAGAAAATAAGGAGGTTGAAGCAGTTGAAAAACCAGACTTCAGGAGAGGACATTATGGTGACCTTAGAAATTTTTTTAGTGAGTATAATTGGACAGACTTGATGCTAGGCAAGGAAGTGAATGAGATGTATGGCAAGTTTTGTGAAATATATGATAAAGGCACAAAAAAATTTATACCAAAACAGAGATGCAGGACCAGAAAACAGGATTGGTTCGACAGAAATTGTGAGAGGGCAAGAGACCAAAAGACACAAAAATGGAATCAGTATAGGAAGAGGCCAAACCCCCAAACATACCAGCGATACAAAGATGCGAGAAACAATTATACAGCAGTAAGGAGAGAGGCAGAAAGAAATTTTGAAAAAGGGATAGCAGATAAATGTAAAACAGAACCGGGCCTATTCTACAAATTCATAAACAACAAATTGCAGGTAAAGGATAATATCCAGAGGTTGGAAATGGGAAACAGATTCACGGAAAATGAAAATGAAATGTGTGAAACATTAAATGAAAAGTTCCAAAGTGTGTTTGTACAAAATGAAATCTTCAGAGAACCAGACACAATAAGAATTCCAGAGAACAACATAGAGCGGATAGAGGTGTCTAGAGATGAAGTGGAAAATATGCTAAAGGAGCTCGGGAGGAACAAAGCAGCTGGCCCAGATGGCGTTTCACCATGGGTTCTGAGAGAATGTGCATCTGAGCTCAGCATTCCACTTCACCTGATCTTTCAGGCATCCCTGTGTACAGGAATCGTAGCAGACGTGTGGAAACAGGCTAACATAGTTCCAATCTACAAAAGTGGCAGCAGGGAAGACCCCCTCAATTATAGACCTGTATCATTGACAAGTGTAATAGTGAAAGTATTGGAAAAGCTAATCAAAACTAAATGGGTAGAACACCTGGAGAGAAATGATATAATATCAGACACAGTATGGTTTTCGATCAGGAAGATCCTGTGTATCGAATTTACTCAGTTTCTATGATCGGGCCACAGAGATATTACAGGAAAGAGATGGCTGGGTTGACTGCATCTATCTGGACCTAAAAAAGGCTTTCGACAGAGTTCCACATAAGAGGTTGTTCTGGAAACTGGAAAATATTGGAGGGGTGACAGGTAAGCTTCTATCATGGATGAAAAATTTTCTGACTGATAGAAAAATGAGGGCAGTAATCAGAGGCAATGTATCGGAATGGAGAAATGTCACAAGTGGAGTACCACAGGGTTCAGTTCTTGCACCAGTGATGTTTATTGTGTACATAAATGATCTACCAGTTGGTATACAGAATTATATGAACATGTTTGCTGATGATGCTAAGATAATAGGAAGGATAAGAAATTTAGATGATTGTCATGCCCTTCAAGAAGACCTGGACAAAATAAGTATATGGAGCACCACTTGGCAAATGGAATTTAATGTTAATAAATGTCATGTTATGGAATGTGGAATAGGAGAACATAGACCCCACACAACCTATATATTATGTGAGAAATCTTTAAAGAATTCTGATAAAGAAAGAGATCTAGGAGTGGTTCTAGATAGAAAACTATCACCTGAGGACCACATTAAGAATATTGTGCAAGGAGCCTATGCAATGCTTTCTAACTTCAGAATTGCATTTAAATACATGGATGGCGATATACTAAAGAAATTGTTCATGACTTTTGTTAGGCCAAAGCTAGAATATGCAGCTGTTGTGTGGTGCCCATATCTTAAGAAGCACATCAACAAACTGGAAAAGGTGCAAAGACATGCTACTAAGTGGCTCCCAGAACTGAAGGGCAAGAGCTACGAGGAGAGGTTAGAAGCATTAAATATGCCAAAACTAGAAGACAGAAGAAAAAGAGGTGATATGATCACTACGTACAAAATAGTAACAGGAATTGATAAAATCGACAGGGAAGACTTCCTGAGACCTGGAACTTCAAGAACAAGAGGCCATAGATTTAAACTAGCTAAACACAGTTGCCGAAGAAATATAAGAAAATTCACCTTCGCAAATAGAGTGGTAGACGGTTGGAACAAGTTAAGTGAGAAGGTGGTGGAGGCCAAGAC